TTTGGGGTCAGGGTAACCATTGGTGACATCTCTTCCGAGCAGCGGCTACATGACCCTTAATAAGACTTCAAAAAAAGCCAATTTGCACATAAATTAAAACCTTCATACGCTGTTGGAAACGCACCGACTTCCTCTTATAAATCAAGGCGTTGAAAATTCTCCGAAGGGGGAGATTGAACTATTGAAAGAGTTGTGCATAAGCCTATCACTTAAACGCCCGAGCTTCGAGTGTGAAGATCAAGATCTTCCCACAAACACTTCTAAAACTGTTTAAAAAGATAAAAAACACAGTTCTTTCTGTTTGATCCATCTTTTAGCGCTACTTACCTTGCAAAGTAGATGAAAAACGGGAGAAAATCAACCATGCCTTCCTTTCCAGGCGCCATCTCACTTTTAAAATTAAGTTTAGTTCCCAGTGCCCCAAAACGTCCACAATGCGCGGCCTTGCTCTCTGAGGAAAGGGTGCATTTGACCAGTTTATTTTTGGAACGGTTTAGGAGCGAATTTTGAATATCTTTTAAGTTCCACAAACCAAATTCAGCAAATTCAACAGGCCTAAAAATGAATTTTTTTGCCTTTTAATAACGTTTAGTTTTCTTTTTTGATATCTTGTACTTCGAATGCGCTCATAGACTTGGTGGAGATTCTTGTTTTTGAGAAAAACGCTGGTAGCGGGAAAGAAGAGCTGAACTTCGCAGATCTGCAAGAAGGCAGAATATTCATTATTAAAGTAAGTTCCTGGCGGTTTTATAACCAGCAAGAAGAAGTCCTCAACCAAAAGTCGCTGAGGGTTATAGACTAGTTCTTCTTCAACGATCTTGCCGTTGATAACGAGGGTCAAACTGCAGATAACAAGAACACAGGCAGCATGATACTTTTCAAAACCAGTCAGTAAAACTCATCTGCTGACAGGCCTTTTCCTTCATACGGTACCTTAACTGCTTTTTCTGTTCTCCTTTCAAGCTAACGATGAATTCCCGTAGAGAAATCTCATCACGCTTCACCAACAACATATGTTGAGTTACTCAAATGGCGTGATGTTGTTTTCAACCAATCGGAAAAAGGTATTAAGTCGAAGATTGACATTTAATTAATTTTGACCAATCACTATTTTCACGCTCAGGATCTGAGCGTAAAAAATGGAGAAAACAATGGTCTCCTTGCAGGCGTTCCTTTCCTTTCTCCCTCCCGCGTCCGGTGCGGCCAAATTTACCCTTCCCCTTCCCCTTTAACGCCTACCAGCCTACATTTTTCCTGATTACACTAACCTTCTTCAGGTTTATAGATGTTACCAGTAACGTTTATATTAAAAAAGGAAAAAAAAAAGTAATTACTCTATAGACAAGAGTTCTGTTATGATCTCTTGTTTATAGACTATTGTTATTCCGTATTTTGAAAAGACCTCTTAATTTCATTTCACAGCAAAACCGATGTTGAAAACGATATAGAAATAAGGATGATGATGTTGTTGTTTGACGACATGAAATTTATTATTGAAATTAATTTTTTTTAATTCCGCTCTGCATTGCTGGAGAAAAAAAGAAATCGAAATTATATATAGTACTGGACTTTCCCGGAAGGTATTGAAAACTGGTTGAACCTAGGCAAAATTGCACGTACGTGATACGCAATTTTTTTCATTCCGGGTGTCTGTGTCTGTGTGTTTTTTGGATTTTTTTGGTTGTATGTTTTTTTATCCTTTTTTCAGTGTCGTTTGTTTTCCGTTTCATCCTCGATAGTCTAACAGAAACCCCAGTCTTTTTTACACAAATCGGCCTTCCACAGGAAACCAGTGAATCCGCTGACCGAAGCCGCACTGTTTTGAAACCGCTTACCGGACAACCACGTTCCCAGGACTTTTTCCCTCAAAAAATGAGAGGGGCGCCTCTCCCATTTTTTAAGGGAAAAAGCCCTGGGAACGAGGTTACTCTCCAGAGCTGTTTAATGCCCCATCCCTGACACTAATCCGGATAAAAAATGCGGTTTTAAAAATGTCCAGATTCGTATGGACATGGTCTTTGGCCCTGTTTACAAGAAATGCCGGAAGGCTTAGGGATTTCCTAATATCGCGAATTCCTCAAGGCTCATTCCCAGGGCTTTTCCCTTAGACAATGCCCTGAGGATCCTGTAGACTACGCGTACACCATGGACGCTTTATTTCCATTCAACCATAACTTTCCAAAATTTGGAAACAGCGGTAAATGGTACAGAAATTTTCCGTAAAAGTTTCCAGACATTCTAGGAACGGTTGAATTTCCGAAATGCCGGAACCATTCAACCGAAGCTTCCTGAAATTCCGGAAGGAAAGCCTTTGAATGCAAAGAAAAATTCCAAGAAATTTTTTTGAAAATTTGGGTATATCAAGCGAGGTTGTCCTCTTTTTTGGAAATTTGTGAAAATGCTGCTCTATTTGCAACTGGAAATTGCCGAAAATTCAAACCAGACGTTTTGGTTGAATGGAAAGCGCCCCATATTTCCAGGGAAATTGGTAGTGTTCTCGAGCTCTGAACTTTGCCAATTTCACTCGGCTTAAGCTTTAACCAGACGTTAGAAAGTAAATAAATAAAACTTCTTTGACGCACATGCAGAAAATTTCCCAAATTTTTGATAAATTTTGAGAGCGCGTTTTTGTTTAGAACTTTGAAACAAACTGTGAAAAGCTCTAATTAAAGAGTGCATTAGTGAGGCGCATGCTCAGTTCCTGTCTCCCTCTCCATTTCATTCCGACATCATTTGCAGCGAGGGTAATTTTTATTCAATTCTTTGATTCCACTAAAACATTACATTTGCAAATTCATAAATGCCCTTTAATTATTGTGAGATGAAATATTTCGCTCTTTATCTGTTATTGTCTTGAGAATGTCACGTGGTTTAGAGGCAATGTATGGAAGGCCCGCGTAGATGTTAAAGTTGAACCACACTCAACTTTTACGTTTACTCGCGGTCTTTTATACATTGTCTCTATTTTATTTACACGCGGAAATAATACGTGCGTACACAAGGAAAAATTACGCGACAGTGGATATCCACCCTTATCAGGAAACTTCTCAAAGGACTATGCAAAAATGACGGGAGCACCTAGTCAGTAATGATGAAGACTATCAGTAAATAGGTGAGACGCTGCAATCCACGCCAAGGGATCGTAACTTTCGACAAATGATAAAGACAAAAACGGAGAATTCAGTTTATATTACTATCTCCATGGGTTTTTATATTATGTTCTACATGTAGCTTTGCATTAACTTCACAGTACCTATAAATAAAATGACCAATAAATAGAAAACTGTTTCTCCTTCCAAACAACTGTTACCCTAGAAGGACGTCTTATGTATTCACTATCACCATTTCGAAGAGTTTAAAGCTAGTCGAATTATTTGTCAATAATTCAATGAAATGCCCCAAAACCGAAATCGTAGGCGAAAATAAAAACCTTTTGCCTATCAAAAGGATTGAGTTGGCCCTTTTTTTAACAAGGACCTTAACATTACTTCTAATAAATTTTCCGCAAAGTTCCGGTCAACCTTACAGGCTATGTTTTAAAAGTGTTCAAAAGAGTTTTTCATTGGCTATCTCAAAACCATAAATTCGGTTTAAAATAGAAAACAACGCAGAGATTGTCAGCACTATAGAGCAATTTTTCAGTATCTGCGTTTTCCGATGAAGCATTCTACTCGTAGTTGATTAACTCTTCTTAAAAGGGCCATGTCACGATATTTGCTATCTTCTTAAAGGAGCCATAACGTGTCTTCACACAATTAAATTCCAAAAAATAGTGGCCCAGTTTTGTTATTTGAGAGCATATTTAGGCATTGAAAGTGTTCTCTGCTGTCTGTTGCTACGAATGGCAAGGATGGACATGGATTGAAAAGCGATACTATAAGCCCGCAAAAGTCACCAAAAAGTTACTATGATTAGTGCTCCCTGATGAAATTTCTTCTTAACTCTCAAAGAGTATTTTGTGCATGAGTAAAGGTAGTTAGTAATAACTTAAGCACATAATTGACCTAAACATAGTAGAGGAGACTGGTTATGAAAGCCGGCAAAGATCAAAGTTGAAAACAACGGTGCTGTAGTTTACGTTGGAAGTTCCCTGACCGTGCACAATCTTTTGTTTTTTGTTCACAAATTGTGACTGAATAAATTAATGCGATGTTTTTATTGGTCAGTAAGTTCAAAATGATAGGAATGCTATTGAGCGTTGTGCACTGTCAGGTTCAAAAAAGTCAACAAAAACGTATTATAACAAAAGAGTCTAGATGGGTTTCAAAACCATTCCACTTTAAAAACTATGGCCTAAAACAGCAATCTTCATCACGTCACACAGCCCCTTTAAGCACAAACCGTCTTAACAAGAAACTAGTTGAACTAATGGGATATCACTATCTCACCGCCACTTCATATGAGCTAAGCCATACAGTCTGCCTCTCATTTCTCACTCTCTCGTTTTGCTCATTTGAAGACACCCTCAGTGAAAAGACGATAATTATAAGAAACGTTACGAGTAACCATCACATCCGACCATGAGTGACAGTCGCTCATTTGTCTTCTTTTCATGTGATTTTTATCATAAATAGTATTAATAAACGATTTGTTGATAGAAGTCAAGTAAATAACGCAAAACCATGGTATGGGTAGACTAAAATTGTATCTCGTGACTAACAATTTGAACCCAATAAAATGATGGATAAACAGTTTGTTATTGCCCCAGTTTTGCTCATCTTCTTCCCAGTGTATGGACGATGAAGTAGCCGTCTGTTAATTTATTTATAGATTTGTTCTGCTTTTCGAGAAATTCAACCAACCCAAGAGAGAAATCTTGTAACAGAAAATAGGTCTGTAAATCTATGAATCCCTGAAACACAATATCCAACATAGATGCCATTCACTTGCGTATCGAATGGTATTCCTTTAAACTACTCTGGGAGCAAAGCCGGGCTTCTTGTTGGGAACAACTTATAAACCGGATTATCCTGCCAAAATAGACGATTCTTTTACTAACATTACTTGGCATACGCTACCATGACAACGTTGTCCCCCCTGACAAACAACTGGTTCACATGACGACGCTTGAACACCAAACACTTATTATGACCAATGGAAATCGTCTTTGCTTGAATATCATCATCAGCCTTGGAATCACCATCACGCTTGGGTTTAACTGTTTGTTTGAAGTTTTCAATATTAGCAGGGACTTTCCTACTTCCTTCAACATTGATGTCACCGCAGGACGGTACATTTATGCTGTTACTGGTATAATCGGGTATTCTCTTCGAATCTTTGGGTAGCTTATGTGTGGAAGACACTGTTGACGGTTTAGGCAGTGAGTCTTTCACTTCATCGATTCTTATTTTCTTTCCATGCTTTATTTCTGTACTGTCTACAGATCTGCGACGTTTTCTGGGGTTCTGAGGTCGAATTTCCGTCCCACGTTCAGGATTGACTTTCACCTTGGAAGTGACATTGACGAGACGTTTATTTGAAACTTTTCTTGGTACAGTTCGTGAAGGAACGTTCACTGATTGAAGTTCGCCTTTTTCATTGTATTCAACTTTACTAACATTACCATCAGTTGCAGCTAACCTTTTTCCCCCTTTCACGTTAGAGAGCTTCTTAGATTCACTTGTAGTTTGTCTACCACAGGAGCTATCAACCTGCCTGCATCCCTTGAGAGTTCCTTTACCAGTTGACAAGGGATGCCCGACCAATGTGGGTTGATCTTTTAGAGTAGCCTTGTTCATAGAATGACGTTTTGAAGGTCTCTCAACAGAAGAACCACTTGCGGATTTAGGTGTTCCACTACTACGAAGTGTCCTTCCTCCTGTTTTACCTTTCAAACCAGTTTTCTTGGTATCAGACGAATTACTTTCAGCGTTTAATGTCTTTGGACATGACTCTGGCTGTGTTGTTTTCAAGGCATTCTTGCTAGTCGATTTCTTAGCCATATCGGGGTGACTTTTAGGCGTATGTCGTCCAGTACTGTCTTTCTTAGCGTCTTTCGTTACAACCGCTGCAGAGTCTTCGCTGCGTGTTGAGGTTTTTCGCGATCCCTTGGTCTTTCGACGCGACTCCGGCTGCGATATTTTCAAACGATTCTTTCCGTCTGATTCCGCAGCAGTTCTTTGGACGTTATCGGGGTGAAAGTCTGCCTTGTTTCCTCCAGTGTTCTCCGTCTTACTATTTGTATTACACGGTGAAGATCCCTGGGAGTTTTGGGGGGCTTTCTTTGACGACTGTGGTGTTTGCCTTAACTGCTCTTTCTTAGGCAGACCGCCCAAATGGTTGTCTTCTTTAACGCTCCCTGTCTTGGTAGAATTATTTTGTGCCTCTCTCGTCTTAAGTCTACTGTCCTTAACATCTACGTTACGCCCACCTTTAACTTTACTTTTCCCATTCTTTCCGCGATGTGGAACCTTTTCCTTTACCTTTTTCGAACGCTTTTCCGTACCGCCACACTCCTTCTCAGATTCTTCAAAACGAGGAGCTCCGCTCTTAGCATTTCCACAGCTAGTCCGCTGACTCCGAATTTCACTCAACCTTGTTCGGAGATCAGCGTTTGCAATGGCGGATGAAGAGCCTCTTCTCTTGCCGCCTAAACTTGCTAATAACCGTGATCTTTCCATGGTTAATGTGTGATGCCCCTCACCCGAAGAATGTCGCCTGGCAGGGTGAAGCTGTTTGTCTACCGCCAATGCAACCGTTCTGTCGTCGAACAGTTTACTTTTGGAAGTGCTTGGACCACCTTTCTGTGCGTCTGCTATTTTTACAAAAACCTCGGCATCTGAATCAGAAGAAGACAGTTCACCCTCTTCCTTTTCCTCCTCTTTGAGCTTTTCAGTCTCTAACGTCTCCTTACTTTTAGCCTTTGGCGTCTCTACATTGTCCTCACTTCGCGTTTTTTGAGCGTCTAACGTTTTCTCCTCTTCTGTTTCACGTGATTTAGCCTCTAACATGTCCACTTCATGGGAGCCAACTTCGCCTTCTTCTTTTTCAACTTCACTAGCATTATCTTTGTTCTCAAAAACTGTATTTTGCAGCCGCTCATCATTTTGCAATTTGGTGTCCTCCGTGACTGTTACCTTACGACAATCCCCACATGTTCCTCTGACAGACGGGTAATCGTCTTCAGTTTTCATTTCTGACGAGTTTGCGTGGTTCTTAAACAATTCACTAAACGGTTCGTTCTTCGCGTTATTTTCCTTGCCTGGAACTTTAAAAGCTGACTCCATAGAGCCTTCAGGAGACACGGTGACACTGTCTCTATCCCACGAGGCGTCAAAGGCCTTAGTTCTGAGCGAATTCCTTTCCTGGGTCATACCTAAATTAACTGACATATCGGAGGCTTCAATTGTATCTGAATAGAGAGTAGCAACTTTTACATCTCCACAACATGGTTCACTTTGTGCAGGTTGCAGCATCTCTGACTTACGATCGTCAGGTGATTCGTCTACTTTTCTACATGGTTCAATTATGCAGACGCCCGAACTGTTTTCTACAGTTGTTTGGTCACAATCACTGCTACCAAGATACAGACCCTCACTGTTACTCACCAAACAATTCACACCTGAACGCAAGCTTCCACCTTGAGAAAGATTTTCATCTGAATTGCTCATTAGCGCAGCACTTTCCACATCAATAAGTACCGCCTCAGCCTCCTTGTGCTGCCTTTCAAGGTTAATCTCATTTTCGTCAGGAACATAACTTACGACTTCTGGAGCTTCGAAATCAAACAGCCTATTTTCTTCATCTCGCATATCCACGTTGTTAGTAACAGTCATGGGTATTTTCAGAGCTTCGTTAGGCGAGTTTTTTGATTGGTCGGAAGCGACAGAGGTCCTTGCTGCAGCTCGATCAAGAGTGGATTTCCCCTCAATCTCAGAAGTCCCATCTACACAAATCAGAGAAGAAACAACTCCCTCTTCATTGCGAAAAGGAGGGTTTTCGCCACTAAAAGTGAGTGCTCCACACGATGAATCAGTTTTCTTGTCTGTGCAGAGGAGTTCCAATGGTCTCTGGGTATCCTCACAAGTATCAGAGTCCACGGTGAACCTTAGGGTCACTTCATGCAAATTACTTAAGCTTTTCTCTTCATCGCACGCTCCACCCAGTAATAGCGCGTTAAATCTGACATTTCGTGTTTGATCCTCGTTTTGAACAACTTCTATATTGCTCTCCACAGATTTGCGCTCCACTTGCTGTGTTTCATTTAGTGCTGAACAAGGAACAGTGACAGAATGCAGTTTAAATCCCTGCGTGGATGGCCTTTCTTCTCTTATGGTACTATGTTCTAAATACCCTTCTTTACCTCCCTTGGGTGCTGCATCTTCAGACTTTTCCTTCCCACTACCAACTAATGCAATTTGTTCAGTTGAGTCACTTTTGTCTGGTAAGAGTCCATCTTCTATAAAATCACATTTTTCCACTTCTTTTTCGCTTTCCTTGGTCATAACCGATTTACTTTCGGAGAAAATCGACACGGTCTGCAATGTCGTTCCACTATTTGATGAGCTCTCAGTGTTCTGTGCAATCTCCCGGTTTTCTTTCGAGCAATCCTCTCGTATTAAATTATATAACTGGTCGTTGTGTTCCATTTTAGTAAACTCTTGTTTTTGCTCATTCATGACTATATCCTTCTCGTCTTTTACCAACAGCCGGTCACCTACAGTGACATCATCGCAGTTGTTCTCCATATTTATTCTGCAACTGTTTTCTTGTAACCTGTCATAACATTCATTCTCCTTTCCATCTGTGACTACCGAGTGACTACTGCCTTCGGTTGTGCTTGGCAAAATTTCATCAACGCCAACAAAACTAACATCTAAATTCACAATATTTGATGGGAAAGGATCCAAATCTGTTTTATCAATATTCTTTTCACCCCGAGAATCCATTTCTCTGTCGTTGCTATCAGATAGCTGCTTATTTTTGTCTTTACAAAGCTTACTCAATTGAGACCCCGTTGTATCTTTACTGTCGACTACGCCAGTGTTGGAGGCTGATGACGAAGGATTATAATCACCGGAACCTTCACTACTACAATCTGTCGCACACACTGACAGTTTTAATTTGAGTTCTGTAACTGTAGAGGCCGATTCGTTCTTCTCTAACAACTCAATGCTTGGTTTTTGACTCAAATTATTTCCGCATTTTTCAGAGGAGAATTCATCAGTTTGATCAACTGTAAGAAGAAAGCGGCCGTCATCATCCAACGATAAAGCAGAAGCATGCAAAGCGGCGCTTAGAGCTTCTGCAGAGGGTGTCAAAGAATCTTCATCGGGTGTATCCATGGAAATGTCCTGCTGGCTATGATCCCCGAGTGTGTAAAAATCTAAAACGGAAGAGTCCTTATATGGAGCTATAGTCCCCTTGCCTGTTTGAGCATCAATGATAGGCTGAACAGCTAGTGATTCGCATTTTACACTCCCCTCTACAACCATACCAGCTGTTTTCCATTCACAACCTGTCACTTGTGTTGACGAACGACCCACTTCATAAAATGATGTCAACTTACTATTTTGGTGATTTATCGCATCGTTTTGTTCTTCGTGAGGAGGTTTATTTTCATTTTGACAGTTGACCTTTTTCCTTTTCTTCTTTTTCTTCTTTCCCGTTCCTTGTGTTTCTTTATTAGCTTGGGGTTGTTCAATTCGTTCTTCTAATGTATACACTTCATCGACATCGAATAGAGCCTAAGAAAACAAGACAAAACATGTTCCTTTGTTACAACTACGACAACAAATTATATAACGAGCACTTGTGTTCCTAGTCAAGATTCAAATAGTCTTTTTATTCCCAGCATAACTAAGGTACAGCTAAGAACAGTCGAGCCCTGCTATATACTGAGATACCCGCTTAACACGTACACCTTGTTATTACGCATAGTTTTCTGGAGAGGGGGAGAGGGCGACCGTGGACACCTCGTCCACGATGCCCATTTTGGTGAGATGAGATTTCGGCTTGCAGACTGCCCTGTTGATGTTTTATTGACCAACATGACAAGACTCAATGACTTGGTAAAAGACAGCGACGTTTATATCATTCCCTGGCTGTGAAATTATTCGACAAAACAGGATGATAAACAGTAGTTTTGATGGAGGTGTTTGTTACTTTTTATGTTCGAACTTGTGAGAATTCAAAACACAATAGATAGTCATGATTTTTTAATACATTATCTAGATATCTGAAGTAATGGCTGAAGCATATCCCAGGCAGTATGAAAAATAATATTTTCTTTGTTGGTTAATCATTCACAAACCTCAGCGAAACCTCTATTCAGGGAACACATGCCTCAGTCCATAGGCTGTCGACTGTAATTAAAATAACCTGGGACCAAAGGCGAATAACAAATAAAAAAATGCCGCGTGAAGGACTGGGAAAGGGGCGGCAGATCACAGCAGATTGGAGTGCCGGAAGGTCTTCAACAAGACCGCTGACCCATGATTGTTATGCAAATTACCAGGTTAATTAAAAACTGACTTACGATGTGTACAAAACTCCATTTTTTCATGTACAGTTCTGAAAGATCTCAAATCCTGTTTCGTAGCATCATCATCATTGGGCCATAGAGTATCCTCATCAACGTGACCAATATACAAACCGATGTACACACTGTACCTTTAATACTTGACTGTTTTGCACTCTAAAACTCTCCTTATGGACACCTCAACACAATCCCATATAGCACGAAAGATAGACACTGTAGGGTGTCACTGCTAGAGATTGCATCATTATGTTACATTGCAATAAAAGGTTTTTAACTGTCCAAATTGAGGTGACAAAGTTCACAGGCTGTGGTGATCACACCTTAAATTAATTCCGCTACAGCACTACACGTAAATGTATTTTCCCATAGACGGGGAAGGGGTAACCTTAAAAGACAGGAAGCAAGTCAGTTGCAGGTGGTTATTTTTAAGTATAGCTGTTGATGTAATGGCAAAACAATTATTTTCTTAGGTTAATCCTTTGGTGACGGCTGGCAAGTACCAAAAAAAACCCCGCATTTTTCACCAAATCTTCTTCTATGGACTAGTTTTCGACTAATTAGCATAAGAGTGGCTAAAAACGAGTTTTGTAAGAAAAGAGGCATATTTTCCGACCAATCTGATGTAATTAAACAGCTTTTTTGTTTTTCACACATGTGCAAAAGCCAAAATTTGGACTTCTCTCTTGCTCTCTGTTTTTTCCTTTGCCTTTCTTCTTTATTAGCAGTTTTGTTGCCTACTTTATCGTCTTTCTTTTGCATGGAATTGTGGCTGGCTTACTTTTTAGGAAAGGGACAAATTTAATATTCAAAGAGTAGTATGTAAACAGCGAAATTGGCGGTGGATTTTTCCCAAAAATGTTATCTTTTTTGTGAGTGTAACTCTGTCAGGATTGGTCAGAATATCCAAAACGAGGTATCGCTGGAAAGATCTATCTGTTCCGACGTCCGTGATTACCAATTTTATTAACTTAAACTGAAAGCTAAAAGGTTCCAGGCAGGAAAATATGCATCATTTGATATGGAAGAAAAACGACTAAAGAAGTCGTTAAAGGGTTCAACCAGAATGCTCAAAGTTTCCAAAAAATAATTAGGTCTAAGAAACAAGGGTAATTCTGGATCAAACTAAGTAGAACACCTGTTAAACCTGAGAATGGATTTTACCCCAAAAAATAGCAAATAGGTTTATTTGATGAAAAGGCAGGCATCCTAACCACTTGGCTATGCTAGTTTTTGTCTTTAGTAGCTACTTTTCTGTTTGTTTTATGGCCCAGTGGCCTTTTCCTAACCTCCTCAAACCCTTCTAGTAAATGCAGCACTAAGCAGAATAACTTTTGGCATTGCAGATACTGCACTTCAATGGTTCAGATCCTACCTAGCTGGTAGATCGCAGGGTGTATTACTTAATGGGAGCTTCTCAGAGGAATTCTCTCTACCGCATGGTGTACTGCAAGGATCGTGTCTGGGGCCGCTGCTTTTCTACAATTTATGCTAGCAAGCAATTTGAGGTAGTGAAGCGCCACCTCCCAGATGTTCTTGTATACGGAGACGATAACCAGTTATAAATCCCATTTAAGCCTGGTTCCAGTGCGAGTGAATTGGAAGCGGTAACTGCATTACAAGATTGCGTTCTAGACATCAAGCCTTGGATGACGGCTGACAAACTTAAGCTAAATGACGACAAAACGGAATTTACTGTAATTGGAACCCACGCGCAGCTGGACAAGAGAAGCATATCAGAGCTCAGTATTGATCACGCAAAAGTGTCTACAGTATGCAACGTTCGGAACCTAGAGACGTGGTTCGACAACTATCTGAGCATGAAAACCGCCATCAACAAGACTTGTCAAATCGGGACTTTACCATCTGCATAATATTGGGCGCACTAAAAGATTTCTTAGCTTTGAAGATAGAAACTCGATTGTTCAGACAATAGTGAAGTCGAGAATAGACTATTGCAATAGCCTATTGTATGGTGTTGCCGCTACGAACCTTAGCAAGCTCCAACGGGTGCAAAACGCGGCAGTCCGATTGGTGTGCTCATTGCCAAGACAAGAACACGTCACATCGTCATTTATACGTCTTCACTGGCTGCCGATTAAGTTTAGAATCAATTTCAAGATTGCTATGCTCTGTTTCAAGTGCATTCATGGACACACCCCCAATTATCTTAAAAGCATGGTCGCCATCAAGAAGACTTCGACATACAACCTCCGCTCGAGCACCAGTATCCAGTTGGAAGACCATTCACGACGATCGAAAAAAACGCTTGGCGATCGAGCCTTTTCCAATGCATCCGCCAAGGTTTGGAACAGTCTCCCACAATCATTTACAGTCACAGCAAAATTTTAACGCCTTTAAGTCATTGCTTAAAACTCACTATTTTAGAGAAGCGTTTAATTTATAATTTCTTTTTAGTGCTTCATATAGTATACATCTTCGCACTTTATTGTAAATTCAAAATTGTAAATAGGTCACATAGTAATTTTGGATTCAATTTTACTATGTAAAGTGCATTTGATCATATCCTCCTGTATGTTATTTTGCGCTATATAAATATTAAATATTATTATTATTACTACTAATTTGCTAGTCCCAAAAATAATACTATAATTGGCCATTTCAGAGCGGTCTGCTTAGTGCCCGGGCCTTTGAATAGAAGTGAGGCTAGAGGTGAACAGGTTTTATTACATTTACCCTTATGATTTTCATGTGCAAACCGCTTTATTGACATGCTAATAAGCCCATGACCTAACGCTGGAAAATTGAAAATCAGAAAGGTTTGCAAACAAACAAAGTCACCACTCTGCGGTGGTACTTAACCCTTTAAGCCCCAATATCCACAAACAAATTCTCCAAATTGATCTCCATACATTTCCTTACAGGATTAGTTGAAAGGATTTGTTCAAAGATCAAAGCATTTTCCTTTAGGTGATCATTTTATTTATTCTCACAAACTTTTCTTTTAATCATGTATTGATATTGTTGGGAGTAAATTAATGTTGGTCACTCTTGAAGCTTAAAGGAATTTTTGGGTGGGAATGTGCCCCTGGGATGAACCCTTAGCCCATACCAGGCCTTCAGAGTGTAGTTCAGCCCAACATTGCTATCCTAAAATCCCTTCCATTCTAGAGTTGCTATTTATTGATCCATTTCCTGGAAAATGAAAACCATCAACACCCAAACTTGCTGATTTCTATACCATATTTCAGACTAAACTGCTTGAAAACCACACCCTTCACATATAGCCCATATATGGCCGTACTCCCCCCTTCTGCTCCCCCCTTCTGGGGAACCTCCAGTGTCACTTCCATTCAAAGGCCAGGGGACTGATTAAACAGCTGTACTCAGTCTACAGTGTAGGCATACACTTACCAGGTTCATATGCTTATCAAAAGCAACAAGGTATCCAGCTAAAACACCACGGAGTCCTTTGTATCTTCTGGTCCAAACCTTGACTCTCAGCCTCTTGGTGAGACATGTGTGCAGTATGCTAAATGGTCCTTCAGTACATGCTGTGTATGCAGAAAAAAAAATACATTATTTACTTCAACTCCTAAAAAATGCTCAGTCATTTTCTTTTCTGGAAACCTTGTAAACAGGACCACTTCATAAATAGGATCAGGATTTCATGCCCTATTAAAGGGTAGTTTTATTTACAGACTTCCACTGTGCTGTTAAACTGGCCTTTTTAAACACAGTCACCTCTGGTTCATGTAGTCCTGCTCTCGTTTTGCAGGTCCTAATGGAAGATTAAAAAAAAGCCCATCTGGTTGTTCTGGATATCTAGATGTCCCCCTAAATAAGTAGCATCTCGTGCACATCACTTGCCCAATGTGCAAGGCCCTAGCAAGTCATCCTTACGTAAAAAAGCAAACTAGACAAGCTCAAAACTGCCTTGGGCAGAGCTCCCTGTTGAGGGGACCAGCTGAATTTCAAGTTACTTTAAACTGCGGCTTATAAGCCCTGACCTTATGAGTGATCTTTGTAAGGGGTTTTAGGTGGGCTTATAAACAAAGGGACTTACATCTGAGGGGGTCATAACTGGAATAGAATAAACACTTCGAAACAAGCTACATGTATAGCAGTGGTGCTCAAAATCTATTTTGCAATTCCTGGTTTTTCAATAAGCTTCAAAATGTCACAATCAATTGAATTCAGAGGGAGGATTATAATCAGAGCTAGAAGGGGGCTTATGATTGGATGTATTTTTTTGTTTGCAGGCAGATGGGCCTATAACTGGGGGAGGGGGAGCACTTATAAGCAGCAGTTTACAGTACCCTAAATCAAGTTAAATCAAGTTACAGTCAACTCCCTTTATAGCAGACACTGTAGCGACCTCAAGTTAATGTCCTCATTAGAAAGACTCTGGAATAGCAGGAGTTTATTTCAGTCAAGCCTCTGCACCCTCAGTCAAGCCTCTCACCCCCATGAAAGGGATCGGATTTTCCAGGGGGGAGGGGGGGTCAATTTGCCTAATTTTCCAGTGGGGAGGGGGGGGGAGTTACCATAGGGAAATATTTCCAGAGGATTCTCGTGACGCGTAAGAGAGTAACAAAGAAAAAACACAAAAATTAACCACGACAATATTATAAAACACGACGAAAGTTAAAGAGCTACTAAACCTAGGGATTAATGGACATAGTGAACATATTTTGTCAGTCCCTTGGCGTGACCTCTCATGTGAAAACATTCCTTACGGTTTGCCGTTTTTGAATGGATTTGGTATCTGTTTGAATGGCTCAGGGTATCTGTTTGGGAAAAATTGTCATCTGTTCGAATGGCTTGGGCTGTCTGTTTGGGAAAAATTGTCATCCATTCGAACGGCTTGGGATATCTGTTTGAAAAAATTGTCATCGTTCGAATGGCTCGGGCTATCCGTTCGAAAAAGAATTTGTCGACCGTTTGAGCGACTGAAGCTATCTGTTCAAAGACAAATTTTAGCTGAGTTTCCATCCCAAAACCATTTCATTGCTAGCCAGACTCGCTTCGAACGATCTGTTATTCTCCAGGTCACGTACGTTACGAAGTTTGAAGTTTGCTTACAAAAGCATCATTTATGAATAGTTACGGATCTCTGCTCCTTTGTAGTCATCTTCACTTTCATGTTTATTTATCAATCGATTATCGACAGTATTGACTTACTTTTTATTCAATACTTAAGTTTTTTTTTTTCAACAAGTTTCCCGAAAATAATATTTTTTATCTTTTACGGTTTTGTAGTTTATGAGCCAGCGGAATGAAACTTCATTTTCCTAGCATGTCGAGAACACAAAACACGAAAAATATTTTTTTTTAATTGGCTGCATTTCTTCTTCTCTTGACTGTTTCTCTATCACAAAGAAGTTACACAAGTCTTTTCCAGCATGTTAAACTTTGCATGACAATTTTCTTATCAATGAAATCAGCGAAGCGCAATTTTACCGCAAACTCAAATAGGCAAATTTGGTAGACTGAAATTTGATACCCACACTGTATTATCACGCGAGGAGGTCCTGATCTCTTTAATTATACTTCTTCAAGTGTTGCTTTCTTCTTGACGCAGTGCGAGAAAAGTACAGTTATGTTTCCTACGCAAGCTTGCAGAATTGTAGAATTCAACAGAAATTAAATGAAACGCACAAAATTTGTCTGTGACTTGGGTGCATAAGGAGTTCGCATAAGAAATTCGCTTATCTGTTGTACAATTGAACAGGAAATACATCAAACTCACAAAATTTGGCATCCTAGGGGACAAAACTACTTCTTTGTTCACTTCAATTGGAGATAGCAATATTTCCAGGGGGTGTGCAAAAGTTTTGGAAATTCTGGAGGGCAGGGGGGGGGGGGGGAAATATTTTTGGGGCCGATTTTGGAAAATCCAGAGGAGAGGGGGGGTCATACAGCAAATCCCTTCCGTGGGGGTGGTATGGATATTTTCTGGAACCACACAATATTGGTCAAGTACCCCTCTGGGATTAAATAAGGCCTGTATTTAAATTAATGCTGTTTATGGGGGAGGGGGTGGGAACGACGGGTATAAAACGCAGGTCTCAGGCCACTGGTCACAAGTGCATGTAAGAGTAGAGGTCACAGCGCTACAGTAAATAAACAACACTAAAAGTGTCTCCTAGCCCCTAATCCATTCAGAAATGAAGTTTTAGCTTAAGGAGTAACCACTTATTTCAGTTATTTATCAATTGAGAAGTGATCTGCGCTTGTAACTTGTGACTTGTGACCTGTGCTTTGTGCCTGCCGGGGTGCGGAGGGGTATAATCTTTTTCAGAATATTTTCAGTAATGGCATAGAAGGAATTTTGTTACGTAGTGCAAACTTTACCTTCCATCCTGTCTATTACATTCATCCGCTTTTTCTTTATCTGTTCAGCTTTAAAGGCTTCCTCCGCCATGATAAACTCCTGCAGCTTGGACTCACCCACTCTCCCTTCCACCTTTTTCCCAGTCTTACTTTTCGCCATACTCGAGGCGTTGGATTCGGCAATGGATTTAAGCCTTTCTTGCAAATCCTCCTTCTCCTTTGGCTTGTATTCTGGTTTCAAATTTCTCGTCCTTGTGGCAGTTTTCCGCAACGAAGCCTTGCCTTTTGCTGACTTCGAAGATTCGCTTGATTTTATTTTGCCCTCCTTGATGGCTTGAGCATATTCCGCGAGGTTATTGAATATGTGTATTTTTGGCACAGGAGGCTGCAGGTTTTCCGCATATAGGGCCTTCAAAGGGTCGAACTTTGGCGACAAAAAGTCCAGTTTTTTATCCATATTTTCTGTCAACTTTTGCGAACGTATGGCAGCCATCTTGAATAAAGTGTTAGTTACCAGTCCTTTTTCTACTTTATTCGGTTTCAGCCCTTCGCGGTTTTAGAGCACAGGAACCCCAAGCTATGTCATGAACGCTGAAATAAGTGTATCGCAAAACCTTGTGAAGCTCCGAATCATTACGCTGGATTACATTACTTAAATACTTCTTGGGCGGCGAGACGGCGACAAAGATAGCGACGGGTGAAAATCCCAGCATAACCAGGGTAGATATCATCGGCAATACAAGAGATGCAGTCAGTGATTGGACAGCTAATGCATCATTTCATTAAATTGAAATCCCGATCCCCAAACCCTCGGGACATAATGGGGATTTCACGCAGTCAAAGCTTGGTTATAATGAGCGGGGAGTTAAAACACAACTTGGATTTCAGGTGTCAGTCAGATGTCATACTCACCGTAGGCATTAACTGAAACTAACATTCAATACCGAGTTGTGTTTTACCCGGATTTTCCGCTATAGGCCTACTGAACAACAACTTCAACGACAACTCTATTTCGAATCAACAAAACAATAAAACAACATACGACCCGCAGATGGCAAATTTTATTCGAGGTCAAGACTCATTCTCCCGCACAGAAACGGAAGAAGTGGTATTTTAATATTTAGGTCATTGAGTTCACTAGTTCTAGCTTTTGCTAGCCTGCGTAGCAGGCGTCGAAAGGGGTAGGGGAAAGGGAGGAAGGGAAAAGTGCGAAGCTAGAGCGAGACACTCGAGTCTCCCACTAAAGGCGGTTGAACACAGTTTGCTTGGTTTAGAGTCGTTACTCTTCAGTGGGGTGATATTTAAGTCTCGCTTTCTGGAAAGCCCGATAGGCTGCATATCTTCCCGTGATAAAGACCAGACTGTTCACAGTCCCCCATTTTTTCTTAAGATCGTCAGCCGAGCGCTTACCTGTATAGGCAGCCTCGGTTTACATGTACCAAGGGGGCGGGCGTCGGGGTTTATAGGGGTGGGTGGAAGGAGGCTATTTTTGTCGCCTCCTCCCAAACCGTCCCCCGCCCCCTACGTAGATTTGACGCTCATCTAGGATGGCCACCAGTAACGCAAACCGCTCGATCTCGACGATCTTACGGAATGATAGGAGACTGCGAACAGAGTACTGATAAGACGTTAACAGTAACGAGATAAAAGCCTTTCTAGAGCCTCGTTTTGTTGGATTTGATTGTTTGACGTTCGCCTGCACGTTTGGTTTCCTTTAGCATCCTTTACCACTGGTACGACAAAAATAAGAAATTTTCGTGGCAAAGTGGAAGTTTTCTTTCGGCCGAAAACTGGTACCGGTTTGTGCCTCACAATCACGTGAATGATCATGCAAAGAAACCACCAAATTTATCGATGCATTGCCTTGAGAAGAATATTGCTCAGATATCTTAACCCAAAAGGGAGCAAATTCTACGCTATAGCTAGAAAAACTCAGCACTGAACGAGGTGTCAAAAATTCTAAAAATCATGACAATGGATTTAGACTATTTTTATCTTTTGATTAAAAACGTAACGTTTAATACATTATTCCACCAAGCTAATACACAAGTTATAGTAAATGTTTCTCAAACACATGTCCAATACTCACCGCGATAATGCGGTGGCTATTTTTTGGCTTCACCTTTTTCTCAATAACCAGTACTATTCTAATACTTTTCAGTTACAGTCATATTTCTATGTTTAAATTTAATTTAAAATGGTTTAAGCAGTCTTTGCACGTGAGGTCACTCGAAGATGGATGTCCAAACAAGTTAAAGTGGATTTGACGATGATTTCAGGGGGTTGCTTCGTATCTGGAGCTACTTCAAAGCGATATTTCTTCAAAATTCGGGCCAACACCAGCTTCATTTCTATCATCGCAAACCGCAATCCAATACAGTTATGCGGACCGTTTCCAAATGGCATGAAAGAGTAAGGATTACGTGACTCTTCCTTCGCAAAGCGTTCTGGGTCAAATTTGTCTGGGTCTGCATAAATGGATGGATCTCTGTGGATACTGTAAACTGGAATCATTACAGCTATATCTTTTGGTATCTTAACGCCCCTGAGGATGCAATCTTTGGTGCAGTTTCGGATGATTAGAAATCCTGCAACGTAAAAAGGAAAGATGTTTGTTGTAAGGCAGGACACGTGAAGCTACCTTTCCTTCTTTAGTATTCGAACGAGATATCGCGAGGAAGTCCCCATTTACGTCGACATCAACACCACAATCATCGTCGTCATCATCATCAACATCACAACCATCATTGATTACTATTGCTATCACCCTCACCACAATCAACATTGATCATCAATGAACGTAGGCATCATGCCATCATCATCATCATCATCATCATCATCATCATCACCAATACCACCACTGATCGTGGTTGTTATCATCAACATGGCCATTATCATCACCATGACCATTACAGTGATCACTATCAAAATTAACCAATAGCATAATTTACTTTGCAGTGACTATAATCTACCTCTAGTACTGAGCAACTGAACAAAAAAAACCGCGTCAATCGTAGTTATTTCATGCCGTGACCATTATTTTTCCATTACCCACACTTAAATATTATGACGTTTATGGCCTAGGAACAAAAGGAAAAAAATCGGTGACATGCCATTTGTTTCATGATCTGGCTCGCTGAAATGCTCAACCATGATGGTGATTAAATTCCTGAAGGAAGGGGGTGTGGGAAATGATCATGCTTAGAAGTCAAAGCACGTGAGAAAGCTCTCAAGGGAGCTCTGGGAGTAAGGGAGAAAAGGAGAGGGAGAGCACCAGAGCTCCCACTTCCCCACCAAGGAGCGAGGTTGGCACAGTGGTGAGAGCAGTCACCTTCCACCACTGTGGCCCGGGCTCAAATCCCGATGTTAAAGCCATATGTGGGGTGAGCTTCTCTCCCTTGTTCCGAGAGGTTTTTCTCTAGGTTCTCTGGTTTTCCCCTCTCCTTAAAAACCAACACTTGCAAATTCCAATTCGATCTGGAATGCACGGAGACATTCCAAGGAGTTTATATGAACTCCTAAGTGCTCCGTGGGTAAACAAATAGCAACAAATTACAGTTACAAATTACAATTTACAGAGAGTCAGCCTGCAGGCTATAGAAGTCACTTATGTGTAAACAGACAAGCCCTGACTCTAACTCTGCTAAATTCCCCTTACCTGGTGGATACAGCCTTAGGGTTTCTGATATGACCATGTCCAGATATGGTAGCTGGTGAATGGTCTCGTAAGACAACATTTCACTATCATCAGACCACACACTGTCAATTTCCTGCTGCAGTTTTTCCTGAATCTCAGGACTGACAGCCAAGTGGTAACATGCAAAACTCAAGACAGTACTGGTTGTTTCATGGCCAGCAAACAGAAACACCATGCTTTGTGCGATGATCTCGTTATCAGAGAGCTTCTTTGACTCTGGGACAGTGGTATCATCTGCTGCAGCCAACATAAGATCAAGCATGTCCTATCACATGCAATGAAAGTATTGGTCATTATAGTCAATGACAGTCCCTTTTTGTCACGGTTCCCCATTTTCAAGTTCTAAGTTTATGCACAGTGTCACCAAGATCTAACGCTTATACCTGAAACCCCAACAGTAGTGTTTACATTGTGTAATGGAACCCGAATAAAAATAATTTTTGGCTATTTTCTCTGTTGTAACCGCATTCACATCACAATGATTTTCTGCTGGCCCTCACATGGCCTTAGCTTAATTATAGGAACACATGTATGTTTTTTTTTCCCAGGCTCACAGAAATTCGACAGGAAACCATCTCAAGAAACTCTTTTACTGCAGGGGATCACAGTAAGAGTTGGCACAATTAAACCCTAGCCCCTTGTGGAGTCTGTGAGTCATTTAGTCTTCTTATAGTTTCATGGTTCTTTCCAGCACAAGTGCTGATGCTGCTACACAATGAATAACTGGAAATCAAAGTTTTGTTAACAACGATACTGTAAACTCTGTTTAAACAGCCGACCCCTAGAGTTAATTCCAATTATTGCTCTCTTGGCCTTTCTTTGATTCCCTATAAGAGGAGGAGGGTAAGCAGTTAGGAGCCCGGGAGAATAGGGGTCAGGAGGGGCACAAGAAGGGAGAAAGGAGAGAGGGAGGGAGGTATGCTAACTTAGGAGCCACAAGTGGGAGAAATAAGGGGAAATAATGGAAACCGGGCAGGACGGGGGGGAGGGTTTGGACTCCGCTACTCCTTCCCTCCAATAAGGTAGACACCTCTCTATGATGGACAGCCAGTGTCAATCCCAATCTGCCTTAGGGAGAGGTTTTTTGTTAACATAACTGTATAATTATAGGGAGTTCAAGATGCCACAACGGCGACAGCAATGAGAACGTCAAAAAAGCAATAGGTTGAGAAGGCAAAACAACAACTCTGCATGTACATCATGCGTTTTTGTACATTTATGTACCATTGCTGCATGACCATGAGGTGAAAATGCCTAGTTTCCTGTTTTATGGAGGATGTGAACGAGCACCAATGAAATTTTCTTTCTCTTTCTGAACTTGGAATTCAGGAATTCAGCTCTAGAATAGTCCGCTTGCATTTGACAAAGTAAGCGAATTGGATATTTGTGATAGTGATTAAAAGAACCCAAATTCACTTTTTAAGTGACATTTTTTGGCCAATGCCGTCATGCTATCTCCTTATTACCTTTCTAGGAGAGTTTCCTTGACCACCTCTCTTGAGCTGAACGATTTCTTCTGATATGTTAAGCAGGGGCTTTAGATTTGCCATCCACAAGCTTGGCACTAGTTCCATGAGTTTCATTCCAAATGGTAATATGGACACAATTGTTAACAAAATTCGTCGAAAACCACCTTGCTGTGTGGCCTGCCGAGCTGCACTCAAAATAGGTTCATCAGGATTTGACTGTGAATCAACTTCAAATCCAAACGCAGCCGAGACAATGACATCCATTGTAAGGGATTGTTGATATCTGTGAGAACAAAAATGGGAAGTACATTTATTTGGCTTGCAATAAAACTCCCTCACACAACCACTGCAGCAATATCATTGACCTGAACCCCAGATAGCATATAGCTCTGGGCTTTCATACAATCCCTACTTTGACTATAACAGACATCTCTCCTGTGTGGTTCATATAGTGATTTTGCTACCTCTGCATCCTGCATCCCTGATGCATAAAAATCCCCAAAGATGCAAAATAATTGAACATGGCATGCATCCCGTTAGGACGCAAAAAACGATAGATCAATTTGAATATTTTTTGGTAGAATGTGCTGTTTGTGCGATTTCTGTAGCTGCTGTTTACAGTTGAATATTTATTTTAGTCCTTTTTAAATAGTCTTTGCTTTGAAGTGGGACTCATTGGTTATGGACAGGGACTCATGAATTTTCACAAGATGAGTCCCAGGACTCACCATAACCATTTGTAACAAAATCACTGTTCATATGTCATCCATGGTGTTGATGAGGGGACTAAACACAGGGTTCTAATAATACTTTTTCATATATTTGCTGGCTTTAGTTCATGATTCTGAATGAAAGCTTCCATAGTTTGGGTGTGCTCAAGGCAAAATAAAAAGATTTTTGTTCTGAGGTTCAAAAAGTGATCCTTTTCCTCAATAATTATTTACCATTTGCTTTCCCTCCTCCCTGCTCCTTTCACTTTTCTTGGCTCTTTACCTAAGTAGGGCTTTTATCGTGGGATTCCATGAGGATGGTGACATTATTCTGAAGGATTTAGTACAGGGCCAAGTTGCTCAAAAGACTGTTAAGTTTAACCCAGGATTAAGCCAAATTTTAAGCAAGGTTTTCTTGTCTTATACCTGCCAACTTTTTCTGAGATATAAGTGTGAGATTTTTATCCTAGGAGTGCTGGGATTTTTGAAGACGACATGATCATATCCGAAGATTCCCGAAGAAGTCCGAATTCTTCCGAAGAAGTCCTAAGTCTTCCGAAGACGTCCGAAGTCTTCCGAAGATGTCCGAGAAAACGCTTATCCACAAAATCAGAGATCACGAGGAAGGTATTGTCATTTATTCATTTTACACATGGTTTTCGTTCCTTACATGGGTCTGAGTTAACATATTTTTGGAAATTGCGTCAAGCAAGACGGCAACGACTCACATTTTTCAATCAGGCGTGAGAAATTGGCCCGCAAGCGTGAGCCGGCGTGAGATTGAAGTTTTCAACCCGCAGGTTAAGACGTGAGAGTTGGCAGGTATATTGTCTAAGAACATGCAACTTGAGCTTTATACAAAATTACTGTTGAGCATTTACTCCACGAAACAGTAATAATAACAACACAAAATTTTAATCTAAGCAATACATAGGAAAGTAAAATACAAAAAACAAACAAAATTTTAATCCTGGATTAGCGCAAATCTTCCTCTCAGGAACCAGGTCCAGATGGGTAAGTGAAACAAGATTTTCTGGTGAATCGTGCTCATATGGGTATGGTTTGATAGATCTCTTCCTCCCATTCATTCAAGTAACAATGGTTGGTGTCAAAGTTGTCTATAATTTACAATTAAATTGATGAACTCACAAGTGACATAATTAAGGGATCTAGGTTTACAAGGGCAGTAGGAATGGTAACTGAGGAGTGAATAGAATGAAAATCTTAAGTAACAGACTCACTTAGAGATGTTAACACTTTGCTCCTTATCAGCTACTCCACTGAGTTTCTTGATCAGATTATCACAGCAGGCGTTCATCAGTGGTATCATCTGTTTCATCTTCAAAGCACTGAAAGCTGGAGTCAAGGTGTTACGAATACGTTTCCACTTTTCCTTCTCAGCAATTGTCAACATACTGGCTAATGGTTCTGGTTGTTTCACAATGTTCTACAATAACAAAAGCAAAGTTAATTAAACATTTTAAAAAATTTCTTATAACAGGGAAACCTGTATTGAGTGGATATTGAGCAAACAAGAGGCCCTGCAAGGTGTTGAGTACCACAAATGCACTAAAAGGGGAAACTGACAGACACCTGGATGATATGTTCAGAAATTGCGTACCTACGTCTTGTTTGCCAGGCCAGGACTAAAATTAACCTAACAACATGGGCTTACTGTAGTTTGCGAAACAAAATGGAGCGAAACGAAATGAAACGAAATGGAATGAAACAAAATGAAAATCAGTAGTTTGCGAAATGAAAATCTGTAGTTTGCGAGATGAAAATCTGTAGTTTGCGAGATGAAAATCTGTAGTTTGCGAAATGAAAATTTGTAGTTTGCGAAATGAAAATCTGTAGTTTGCGAAATGAGAATCTGTAGTTTGCGAAATGAAAATCTTTAGTTTGCAAAATGAAAATCTGCAGTTTGCGAAATGAGAATCTGTAGTTTGCGAAATGAAAATCTTTAGTTTGCAAAATGAAAATCTGCAGTTTGCGAAATGAGAATCTGTAGTTTGGGAAATGACAATCTGTAGTTTAGCAAATGACAATTTACTTTCTCGCTGCATCTACTCGGATATTCTAAACAGAAAATTCCCCCCCAAAAAGCCGTTTCGCCCAGAAAATTCAGATTGCGCGGAATGCGTGATGTTTTCGTTGCCACGTATAAAGTTTAACTTAAGCTCAGGCGTTTTTCTGCGACGGACAGCAACCAGAAGCAAGACCTCTTCCCTTTTTATATGCCTTGACGCCACCACATTTGTATTAATAAGTGTCATTACTCTTATAGAGACGATCTGCCTGAAAATTTGCTCAAGAACCACTGCCCAAGAATGCAAAAAGTCCACTTCCCCCGGCCGTTGAAACGCCTTATCTTAACCAGAAACGTCACGCGATATTCAAATGAACCAATAAAATACATCATTGTAGCTTTGTTGTTTACGTGCGAACATGGTGGTTTTAACGTTTTGTATAGATAAACAAATGCAGGAAAAAAAGTATTTCCAGCAGACGTTTTTGTTGTTTAAGTGTCATTTGAGGACAGGAATTCCCTTTGGAGGAAAGTCATTGTTTCTTCTTGATCGCGAAGCTATTCGCCGATAGATTACTGCAGCCTGTTCATCTGACATAAAGAATATCACAAGCAACTAGCTACAAATACAGGATAAGGAGCCATTCACCACAGCAATCCAGGCGTATGTATAGCTTCTTCTCTAGTTCAGCAAAAGCAGCTGGCAGTTTCAAACAACTTTATAACAACCTTTGCATGAGTTTCTGAATGGCGACTGAGGGGATAGTTTTCCTCTATTGTTCTTACGTTTTCAGGAAGTTAGCCGAACCTACATTATGTTTGCTTTCAGCCACAGCACTGTCTGCAACTTTATAATTAGACGCTCCATAGCTCAACAGTTCCATTTGATGATCCACTAAATGACTGAGCCATTAAAACATACAACTTTCTCGTTCTTTAAATTTTCAAAGAATCAGCCCCTGAGGCACCAAGCCACTAAAAAAATGCCTTACATGTACTAGACTGTTCATTTTTCTGTAAGACAGTTCAGATCGAAGACTTTGCTTTTACACGGATGGCCATCTTAGATGAGTGTCAAATCTACTTATGAGAAAGGGGACGGTTTGGGAGGAGGCAAGAAAAATAGTGGGACTGTACCAACATCACTGCAACTCGCATCCAAGGGGCGTGACAGGAATTTCATTCCTTTAATATTCATTAATTAACAAAGTCCGCTTGCGATGAAAAACATGCCAGACACAGTAAGCATTGACTTTGTGCACTTACAAACATCTCCTTTCGAAACAATGATTATTATGGGGTTAAAAGGAGATTTTTCCAAATAAAATAGGCCAACATGCAGAGCTGAAACATTTCCCCAAACTAAGCAGCAAGCATGCTCTCTTCAACACCGATTAAAACGATTAAACCTCCATATAAATAGCCAGAAATTTCTGACATGGGTTGTCTTTCCGTGTCTTTGCGGCAGAAACCGTGCTGTTTAATTCAAAACTCTGCAGACTTCTGGAATTAACAAAATTCCCCCCACTGAGGCTACATCAAAATCATGTCAGCTTACGTGATTGATCTTCAAAACATTGTCCAAAAATCCTTCATCTGTTTAATATGTGTCTTGCAAATTCGCAATAGCATCTAGTTATCAAAACAATACTTGCGAACAAACCATTTTATGTCATCCCTTCTCTATGAAATCTCTATGAAATGTCCATGAAGACCCAAAATAACACAAAAGTTAGGCGAACAGTTATCATGAAAGTGATTTATAGAAACAACAACTTGTCAACGATGTGTCAGTGTCGGCAACTTTCAGCTAATCCTGTTGTCAATGCAAATTAACATCTATTGTCTATTGACCAATCAAACGCCTGCGTTGTTGGTACAATGCACTCCGCGAACGCAAGTCGCAGTGATGTTGGTACAGTCCCTCTATTTTTCACGCCCCCCCTCCACCAAGAGCTATAATCCCCAACACCCGCCCCCTTGGTACATTTGAAAATCAAGATGGCCACCATTCACGGTAAGACGCGCAATATCTCGACAATCTCACAGAAAAAAATTGGACTGTGAACAGTCTATACATGTACCCATTCATTAAAACTTATATCTACAGATGTCTTTGCCTTTATCAATTGCTAATATATTACATTAATAATAATAATAATAATAGTAATAATATTATAATAATAATATCATTAAAATCTATTTATCAGGCGCAAATATAGTCACAATAGATTCAAACGCCCCAGTGACTGGTGAACAACAAAGGAAAAATTTGTCAAACTTCTATCTATAGTATGGCATTTTTCTTAATCATAACATCAGACTTACAGGGCGATCGGAGAAAGACTCGAACTCTTTAACGAAAATGTCTTTGATCATTTCTGGGTCACTGATCACAAAGCAAGGTTTACTGGTAAACATTGACATGACGAAAACGTTGCCATATTTCTTGTAATACTCGTCAAGTTGAAGGTGGAACTTTCCCTTGTGCCTGATGAGGTCGTGAAGATGTCCGATGAAAGGAAGTGGAGTTGGTCCAGTGTGGTAGCAAGCTTTTAACGCCTGATACGGAGATATCCAGAAATAGTAAACGACAAACAAAATGACTGCCGCTACCACTATAGTTTGCCATTCCCCAAATAACGGTTCAATAAGATCAAGAAGCGCCATCTTATCTGGATGTGCTTTATGAATATTTCCTTAGTAGTTCTAAGTTTAAGTAATTGGACAGGTAAAACTGTTACATCATTTTAGCCTGCGTGGCAGGTTACATCATTTAGTCACTTGATGGTGCAAGTTATGGTGAAAGAAAATATTGCTGTCTGTGCACAATGTTAGTGCCAGCGTATGTTTAGTGCGTGGTTACAAAGGAGAATGTCCTGTAGTTGTCACGCAATGCCTGGTCACACTTTACAGCCATTGTTTTAGAGTCTGAAAACAATGGGTGCCCTCGTAAATTGCACTTGTAAAATTTTAATTAAATTAAACCCAGTACTTTTTAAAAAAATTACTATTGACTATTTTCCAATTCCCCATAATACACTCTGTCTGCCCCCCAAATTTTGCATAACTTATTGTCTTAAAATGCTCTTGGGAAAATGCAATACTCCCAGGAGCATTTAAAAACAATGGTTTATGCAAAATTTGGGGGGCAAACAGAGTGTATTATGGGGAATTGGAAAATAGAGAATACAGAAGAAGCTTTGTGTAAGTATAGGACTAATAACTCCACCCAACTTTCAACTTAACTTTCAACTTTCAACTTTTTTTCCACTGTTTAGTTGAATTAATCTTACACATACAAAATATATAATTTTCGCACAGAAATGTACTATTCAAATATTAATAAATAGAAAATCTAGAGAGGATGTGCACAGTGGCCAAAGGAGCCGAGGCTTGTGACAGTTGGCAGCTATCAGAAAAAGCCAAGATTTAATTCGTTAAGATTAAAGGGCACATTATATATTAGAAACATCCCTAGAGTTATTAAAGTGGAATGGCTATGAGACCTGTTAGACTCATTTTTTACATGTTTTTGTTATAGCTTTTTCGGACCTGACCGTGCACAATGTTCAATAGCATTCCTATCATTTCGAACTTACTGACAAAATAGAAAATGCGCATTAAAAATTTGTGTACAAAAAGGATTGTGCACGGTCAGGGAACTTCCAATATAAACTGCAGCACCGTTGTTTTCAACTTTGGTGTTTGCCGGTTTTCCTAACCAGTCTCCTCTACCAACTATGTCTGAAATGACTTATCCCCTCCCCTTAAAAATCGGCCCCACTGCAGAGGGAAAGGGACAAGCACTGCCTTCTGGGAGATCCATCCGCCATTTTGTCTTTTTTCGACGTAGACGCAACTCATTTTTCTTATTAGGCCACAGGCACAAATAAAAAAGGGGAAGATTAAGCGAAAAAGTGGAGGGAAGGGAAAGGGAAGCCAAGGCGTTTTCTTGCCTCTTTATCTGGCCTATCCCCTGGGAATCGCGACAGGCCTACCTTGGGTGCTAAGAGACTTAAAATACGCGGTTTGCGGTTTCGATTAAGTCTTAATAGTGGCTTCCACCAAAGATGTGTCGGCCTGTGGCCAACCCCCGAAGCATCGTACCGCACGCGAGATAAACTCTGGTGCCCCGGCCACAGGCCAAATCAAAGGTCAAAATTCTGCCCTGGATGCAGTGGCTCCAAGTCATGGAATAATTAATGTGTATGTGAAAAGGTAGGGTGGGGAAATTACTTATTGCCTTTCGTTTTATTCATTTACATGAATAAAGCCCATTTGATTCTAATCTGGGTCTGTCACCTGTCATTATGTACACGTACTTTATCTTGCCATTCAGGGTTTCCTTTGGGTTGGTGTGAAATGTGCACAGTAATAACAATAAGAAAACGATGAAAGCGTATCCTGCAGTGCAGGCGTTTTCTTCCGGCGCGCAAATGTGCCATGTTGAAACTCCAAAAGAGAGGAGGAAAAAGGGGCGAGTCAAAGTTGCTATTTCTACTCGCCCCAATCTTCCTGACACAAAATCAAAGATGGCGACTACAAGAGTACGAACATAAACAAGCAGCTTTCACCCGCCCAAAATACCCCTGCAGGCTAAAAAAAAAAACTGTCGCGGCTTCGCTTTATATATGTCATACATTTATCTCCTACAATAAATTTACAAATGGACCAATAGCAGCAGCCTCGAAAGGTCTGCAATAAGACAATGATAAAAGTTAGAAGCTTTTGTAATTTGAATAATCGCACATTTAATCTACAAATTCAGAATAGAGTAAATATATTTCAGACACCATATATTTATGAATATAACTGCAAATTTCTGGCCAAACAAAATTCAACACTTACAGTAAATATATATTTCATTTTCTGTCAGTTTTAAACCAGATGTGGCGACTCCTTCACAAATAATTCCAACGACGCGTCAATCTTCAGTGTAATCTGCGAGAGAAAGTTTTCAAGTTGTCCAATAGTATGATAGGCAAAAGTGACGTGCGTTTGCTTAACTTGCTGTGTGGAGAAACACTTTTAATTTAAAATTCGGAAAATTCTATTTTGAAATTTCGTTGAATAACATAAGAAAAAATTCCACCAACACAATTTTTTTTGGAGACACCAACCTATTTTTAAAAGGTATGAGTGATGTGTCTTAATGTAATCTCTAATCTGGGTTTAAGGGGAACGGTTTTTGCGGGTACATCTTGAAAAAAAGGTATGTTTTATGATGATATTTCGCCAGGCATTTTTGTAGGAAACTCTTCGCTGTCTGATCAAACATTGTGTCCATCACCGGACAAAAATCTATCCAGTGGATAAAGCAATTAGTTTCCCTAGTGCTTATCCACTGGATAGTGATTCATCCGATGGATAGTGCTATCCAACTTTTGAGCAACCGAGTCCTGATCAGTACACTCATTCCACGTTAAGTGGGTAAATTACCATTTTTTGGTGTCCATGGCAAGTTTTGGGGACTCAAATTGTTTTCCCATAATCATTTCGCTGAAAAATACTTAAAATATCCCCAAATAAATAGCGACAGTACCACTTTGTGCTCCTGTAGACAGTAACTTTGAGGGAATCAAGGCCAAAAGTGTCCAAAAAATGCAATTTTGCTATGTCCACAGAGAGGGTGGGTATAGAAGGTTACGGTATATTTTTGCTTGTCGCCTTATACTATGGAAACTAATCAATCCAATGTCTCGGGAGGCACCTAAACTAAAGTCCTACATGATCATTTCTCACTGCAGGTCAGTTTTGTTGCTTTTAACTACAGTGAACTGGTGTCCGCTATTTTTATGAAACTTCCGTTACCGATCTGAGGGCAGATCACAAATGGCCTAGAAATAAATACTGCGAATGATTTACATCGGGTAAATATTACTTAAGTTTGCTCTTTTTGATACGCAATACAGAAAATGAAGAGCAGAAGCCTGTGGAAAGAAATTCCCCCTCACAATAGCAGGATTCAGGGTGAACAGTTAAGGTTGTAACTTCCGTTACTAAGATTACAGTAGGAAAAAATGAAAAGTGGGTCGTGCTGATTTTTGTGGTGACGGAGGAGCTAGTGAGGATTATTATGGAGTACGTTTGGTTTTTTCCGAGTTATTAATTTCACTTCAAGATGTAACAGAAACGGTAGAATTGTAACTTCCGTTACCAAGAATTTGTCCGGTCTCTAAAACATGGGATAAACGTCAGGAAAATTTCAGGAAATGCTGTCACACGATTGCCCCATCAAACAACCCAAGCCTTGATGACATCTGGTGAATATTTCGTCATAAGTAACCCTCATGCGTGTGACATTGGTGAGATACCTCTCCGTCAAGTGTGATAAGGGAATTTAAGCTGAGTTTGTGGTTCGACGAGTTTTTTTTGCATAGTTTAAAGAAGTTTATTTTCCTTTGAAGTATTTTTAGGCAATTTAGGAATATAAGATGAAAATGGGACAGGCATCTTGATCATTTTATTATTTTTTTTAAAGTAACGGAGGTTACACAAAACAAGAAGTGGATTATCTGAAGCTGTTTTTGCTAGTTCTTTTCTGTGAATGGACCTTACAATATTCATGTATTACAATTCTTGTACGAATTCTAATAGATTACCATGTATCTATTAATTTTTTTTCTTTCAGTTCAATTTATTTTGCTCATTTTGTTGTTTTTAGCCTTGTTCCACCCAAAAATTCCAAAATTTCATCCAAAATTGTTTAGCATTAATTCAATTCAATGGAATAAGTCATATGCATTGTTATTTAAGACGGTCTGTAATCCCAAAAGTAAGTAGTTGGCAGAGAAATGAAATATTACCTTCCTTCTGTAACTTCCGTTACCGAAACTTATTTGATAATCACTCGTTTTCTACTAGATCACATGTTTCCAAACTATAAAAAAAGGTAAACAACACTTTCTTTCCTTCACATTTAGCAAAATAATGTTTAGTCTGACGGCTTTTTTAAAGAAAAAACATTAAAAAAAACACAGCAATTTTAAATTCTCAATATTTTGTTACGTCAGACCAAAGTACACCATGGCAGAACAACTTGACTTTTTCATTCCTTGAGCCACTGACTTGACTAAAATGTAAAACTCAGACCTTAGCCTGCCACGGATTTCATTTTAAACATTTCAGAGTACGCTAAATTGAAAAAAACATAGATATAATGCAACACTGTGCTGTTTCAAGCCATACAAAATATCACACTACATGCTATTAAATAACAGGCTATAACTTTTTATAGATAAAAGCAAGAGACTATAAAGGGGACAGAGAGGCCATCCCCCATATACACCCTATTCCATAGGTAATTCGTCTCGAGTTATTTTTAGAATCGGGATGAAGTTACCTCGCGCGAGGCGTGGATGTTTCGTGGAGGTTTCGCATGACCAAACGCCGTGCAAAACATGTCGGGCGAGAGGCAATGAAAGCGTAAAAAGATCGAGAGCATTCCTGAATATTGAAGCGAAATGAGTCGGCGCTCACCTGGGAAAAAGGAATCGCTGGACTCTTTGACAACCCGTGAAATCAGTTTAACTCGAAGTTGTCGTAACCTCAGTGCTTTAATAAAATGAGAAATTTCGCCGGTCTATTGAAACCGGTCGTTTGTACAATTTAGGGAGTTTAAGATCCAACGACGCGGACGACAACTAGAACGTCAAAAAAACAATAGGTTTAATTAGCAAAACAACAACTTCGCACGTGCAACACACTTTTTTGTTCATTTCTTTCCCGTTTTTGCACGACTACGACGTGAAAATGCCTAATTTCGCGTTTTATGGAGGACGTAAATAAGCAACGACGAAATTTTATTTCTCTTTCTGAGCTTGAATATGGTCCCTTGAAATTCAGCTTTAGGAGGGTTCGCCTACAATTGACAAAGTAAGTGGGTAGGAATAATCGCTATAAAGACTGAAAAAAATAAACATCAAACCAGAAATTGCTCTCTTCAAACTGTAAATTATAAATGATCCTGAGAGAATATTCAGTGTGTTAAGGATTTCCCTGCTCTACTGTTAGCTCTATACAAGAGAGGAAGGGCGATTCTTTTTTAATTTCGGTTTCGCTGACACAGCTTTCGCAGAAATCTCGCTGTAGTCGTTTTCGTCGACAAAAGGAATAGCAAAATCGCTCTCCGCGTCTTCCCCCATTTTGTTCCGCGTCAATTCGTGGAGGACGCGTGGCTCTAGCGTGGGTCGTCCACGCGGAATACATTCGCGCTGTGTGATTGGCTGTTGTCCAATCCCCCTTGGGTTCTGCGGTTCTAAAAATAACTCGAGACGAATTACCTATGGAATAGGGTGTATATGGGGGATGGCCTCCCTGTCCCCTTTATAGTCTCTTGATAAAAGATATGTTGATCAAATTTTGGTTTCTTACCCTTCAATAATACATCTTTCGGTTAAACTAACTACTTGTCTGATTTGTTGACCTTCGATTTTTCGAAAATCCTTGGCACAATTTACCCACTTAACGTGGAATGAGTGGTAACGCTTGACTTGTAAGTTTTTTACTGTTGATTTTGAAAGTTTTTTTTTTTGAGTTGCAATAAATGAACGAGATACGGGGTATTCTCAAAGAAATTGTATATGGGTTTTATTATCCCTTAAAGAATACCTGGAATGCGCTAAAAGTTTGAAAGTGTAGATTAAGAAAGGAGCTAGCCACAGATCCAGGTATTCAGGCTTTCAGGCTAGACTGTAGCCTGCGTGGCAGGCCCAAGAAATAACAGGCGCGCGAGAGGGAGACACGCGTGTCTTCCTCTCATGCGCTCGTTCTTTCTTGCGCCCACTACTTCCAAGCTCCTGCTACGCAGGCTAGCTAGACTATGGATACTGGTGCCAAATGGGGCGCTGAGAAACCAAGCGAAAGAGGGCAGATAGGGAGAGGGGAGGGAACAAAGTTGATTGTAATTCGTATCAGGCTTATTCTTTTCCTTTTAACATCATAGGAAAAAATAAATTGTTTCTCTCATGTCTTCGTCTTTGGAAGTAGTCCGCTCAGTCAAGCTGGGAATTCTCGTCCCGACAAATCTTATAGGAAATATCCTGGTAGTTTTAGTGGTCATGCGCACAAGAAAATCTTTACAGACTCCTATGAACTACTTGCTTGTTAACCTGGCCTTCGCTGACATCACGGTGGCCGTGTTTATGGTCATTGACCAACTGTTTTTTCACATGGTACATCACCCTGAAGGTGTTGCTGGAGAAATCCTATGCAAGCTCCTCACTGGAAAGATCCTTACCTGGGTGGGCTCTGTGGCATCGGTGTGCACACTTGTAGTGATTGCTTTTGAAAGGTAATCTGACAGAATTTTGCATTTTGACGGCTTTATAGCATATAGGGGCTGGCTATATTCTCTCTAAAGTAGTCTGTCTCGCAGCCGAGAGAAACGTTCCGTGGCGACAGAAATTGTGTCAAGATTTTTTGATATTGCTTTACAACTCTGCTCTAGAAACACGGGAATCAAAATCCCGATGTAATCGTCCTTGGGCGTACTTTCCGAGCTGCTATCCCGGTCAAAAAAACGTGGGACACTTCCGTTTGTTTGGGTATGCACTGTGCAGTCCCCTCGCCCCGTTGCATTGTTGTTATGAAAAAGCAAAGTTTGGGAACGTTTTTCAACTAGACAATCTGATTACCAATATTTTCTCTTTTTAAATTATTATTATTTTTTAGTTGATTTAATTTTTTTATTTCTTATTTTTATTTATCACTTGTAAATGTAGATTATGTAAATTATCACGTTGTAATTTTTATGGCACATTTGCATTTAAACGAGCTATTGCTCATATGCGATATGTGGTTAAATAAAATTACTTACTTACTTACTTCAACGTTGTAATGGAAGATTCGGGGGGGGGGGGGGGCAATCAACCAAGTGCCCCAACTTTTTGGTCCAGGGTTTTTAACCCCCCGTTTCCCTATTTTTATGAAAAAAATTTTTTTGCAGGTTTCTAGCCAAAGTTTTTCCTATAAAACGAACACGACCAGCAACCAAGAGAAAAACTAATGTAAATAATGTAAATTATCCCGTTTTAATTTTTTTTGACAATTGTCTATTAAAACGGCTAATTCCCATATGCGATATGGGGTTAAAAAAAATTATTTACTTACTTACTTCAACGTTTTAATGGAAGATTCGGGGGGGGGGGGGAGCAATCAACCAAGTGCCCCAACTTTTTGGTCCAGGATTGTTAACCCGCCGTTGCCCTATTTTCATGAAAACAATATTTTTGCAGGTTCTATGCCATAGTGTTGCCTTACAAACGCACAGCACAGCTGACCAAGAGAAAGACTGTTGTAACTGTGGTATTCTGCTGGATAATTGCCTTAACATTCAATTTACCACTGTTCGTCGTTCGCAAGCGAAATCTCAACTTCAAAGAGACTGGGTTCTTCTGTAGAAGCTATTGGCCAAGCAAGCAGTTAGCAATCGCCTACAACTTTCTTTGGTTGGTTTTTGTTGGTGTTGTTCCAGTCGTCCTTATGGCTGTCTTGTACGGTCGGATTGTGTTCAGCTTATGGTTTCACCAAAATAGCGTGACAAACGAAGCGCAGAAAGCGCGCTTAAAATCCCGAAAACGCGTGACAAAAATGCTGGTCACGCTGAGCGTTATTTACGCCGTGTGTTGGTTTCCAAACTTGTTAATCAACACCATAAATTATTACATAGAAATTCCCGCCCTTCGTTCAATCGGTTATCTTGTTTCGGAAATGCTGGTACTTCTCAATTCAAGCATTAACCCATTTGTGTATGCTTTGCAAAGCAAGCAATTCCGGGAGGCCATTAAGACCATTGTTTGTTGTCGCGAGGGGGGTAGGGTCATGCCACTTGTAGCCGCCACAAGAAATGAGACCACACTAGTTCGAGTCCTGTAAAAAAGCTTTTACGGTGCGTTTTCTCGCACACACTTGCACTTTGACTAAATATTCAGCTAACTGTGGAAAGCTTTCCCACTTTAAAAACAAAAAAAATTGTGAGAACCGTTACTACAGAAGCAAGGAACAAAAAATTACAGGGTTGAAGACTTTGAAACCAGGCAGTACATTGCAGTGCAAATAATTTTATCGTGTCACTAGCGATACCTGAGAAACCTAACACTTCCCGCACTTGTTCAGCTTTAAACAGCCGGACAGAAAAAAAATTGAAGTGGATGAAAGAGACATAATGTTAAGACGTTGAAAATAATTACCTTCAAAATATAACCTAGAGACATCAAACCGACGTACTTTCACAATTAATTCAAACCAAAGGCCAAAATGAGCATACACTAATAAACAATTATTGGATGAGGTTTTGTGATATCCGGAATAATCAACGACGAGGTAACTGTTATCAGCCCAGTCGAAGGCCGAGGCTGATAACACTTACCGATACCTTGATTATTTAGGATATTACAAAAACCGAATCTAATTATTGTTTTATTACGAGTTTGATATGGTTTTGAAGAAAATAGCGACAAACACACCATCATCGATATAATTGTTGTTGGAAATCATGCATTGCGTACACAGACGTTGTTTTATTTTTCTTATCGTTCTTTTAGAAAACATCGGTGAGCTCGCGAGAACGAGCGCGGAGCGCGAGTAAGAAAAATAATTCTTCCCCCACCACTACCCCCTTGCGCTGGCGGTCAATAAATCACCTGCGGCGAGTATATTTGCGCTCGACGGACTTGGAAGAGAAAATTTAGGGTCTGTGAACAGGCTACGCATAAGCTACAGATTAGTCAGTTGTCTGCTAGCAGAAAAGTAACTAATCTTAGGTTGCGCTGATTTCCAAAATTAGCTGTAGGCTCTTAGCCAATGTGAAGACAGATATTGAATACAATGTATAATATCAAAAGTTATTACCGAACTTTACTATACATGATCAGGGGCCGATTTCTTGACATGATATATGTCAGTAAAGATCAACATCAACGAACAAGTAATGACGTGCAATTTAACTTCTTCCTGCGGCGCCCTAATTCAGTATATAATCAGCTTACGGGGGAAAATGACATCCTGGCCACTAGATAATACTGTGATTATCAAGAAATGATCAGAATGTTAAAAGGATGGTAAACACTCTAAATTCGAGATTTATGCCTGTTTAAATTACAGAATTGAAAAAAGAGTCCTTATCCTATGATTTGTTTTAAATTTTCTCATAATATAAGAAAACATTTTCTTAAATTGTGAGATTCCGCGCAATCTCGAATTTAGAGTGAAATTTTCCATGATAAGGCTTGCAATATAAAAAATAAGGTAATCATTCAAGTGAACCAAAAGCATACGGAAGAAAAATGAAAAATGAATTAGTTATTAGCGTGCAGATTAAGAAGGAGTTAGAGAACTGCACGATATTTAACTCTCTCTCATAGACCTATAAGAACTCTTCTGTAAGTTTATTTAGCGCGGGAGCTTTTCGTGTGTAATACATAAGGTATTTTGCGACTTTTCATTTCACAAAGAAAGACTTTTGAAATAATATTATTAACTTTTCAACACTGCTGGTAGTCAGGGTAGCCTCAGTTTTAACACCGCGATAGAATTATGCAAATTCGACAAAAAAAACCGATGAGATCATTTCATGAACAAAGTTTCAAAGGAATAGCTGATTGCGTAATTCCCAAAAAAAAAGAGAAAGAAAGAATCGAAAGAGAAGTAGAAAAAGAAAGAAAAATAGAAATGGCCCCAATTCCCAGGTACTCAAAAGGTGCGTAACGCTATCCACTGGATAAATCCCTTTCTAGTGGATAACGCAATTGGTACGGTTTCCATAACACTTATCTGCTAGATAGTGATTTATCCGGTGGATAGCGCTATCCAACGTATGAACAACGCGGGCCTGGACGTTTCCCCTAATTTTCATTTGTGATACTGAAAATTCGTTATGACTCAGTCTAATGTATAACTCCAATCTGCGGAAACGAACCAATTGTTGAACTCATGTCCATCGCCTGGATGCCATATGTAATTTAAGTTTAATTTTACTTACTCGATTAACCTTCTTGTCGATCGACTCACTCCATAAAGACAATTTTTTTTCACATGATATTCACAGCTGTTTTTCATTTGTCTTCATTTTGAGTGCTAATCTGATTCAGTGGTCTATAGTTTCTTTTCGTTGATACGCCCCTGCAACCAATGCTAATTTCTTTTTCCTTTTGCACTTTAATCGATTACAATTCTTCGATACGAATAACAACAAAATACTTTCATAAAGGTAGAAACAAAATAGAACCGCTACTGCATGCTAAAATAAGTTTAGAAAATCATCCCATACTACATTTACAAACTTAGCATTTCAAATTCATCGTTACCAGGGTTATTTTTGACTCAGACTCGGCACAAGGATCTTTTTTCTCATTTCAATCTTATTCTAAGAAAACTTTAAGAAACAATGTCCCGAAAAGCGCTCGAAAATAGAAACGAAATGTGCTCATGCCCCCTGGGCATCCTAGTGCTCCTCATTTATTGCGACATAAACCGAACTGACTTTAGCTGCATGTTAGAAATTAGAAATTGTTGACGTGCATCCGTATATATATTTAACCTGAGATCAGGCTCTATTTTCGTTACGCTTTGAAAATTACATTCCGGCGGGCATGGCGAAACGAGAAGAGAGACCCAATTTTAGCGGTAGCGGTTAGAGAGAATGTATGAGAACCGCTAAAATTGGGCCTGATCTCAGGTTATCGTATATTTTAATATTGATTAAACCCTTTACAAGTACCACGGCCTGTCAGGTAATCAAACAAATTTACATTTGTCCTCTGAAAATCGGTAAACATGCATGGTTTAGCTTTTAAAGAAGGTTATATGATCGAGATATGGATTACTGTTGGTAAACTATGCTGAAAAAAAGTTCTTTTGGAAATTTTGAGTTTGGAAGCATAATTCTACTTCCTCTGTGGTAACAACTGACTGTTTGCGTGATTTGCAATACACTGCCGTCACATCGAGAGCAAAGGTAAGCTTTTTCTCTATTCATCTGTCCAAAGCATCATTTATAAGCGAGAAAAGTAAACACACATTTCCCGCACTTTTCTTTTCTTAACTATGTGATCAATAGCGGATCCAGAACAGGGCGGCTTTAGTCATCCGCTTGTTTTTCGTCAGAGTTGGAGTGAAAATTTGCCTCATTGGTAGTTATTAATAATTTCCCAGGTCTTTAATTTCGTGTTTTTCGCGATGGTAAAAAAAGATCGCGAAATTAAATCCGCGAAAATACATCCTCACGAAATTTAGTAGCCATTTAGAAAATTCAAATCATGATTAACATGCAATAGCGACAACTTACACAGGATATGTATCGACAAATACACAAATTGCTGACTTTCTGGTTTTACTGGTAAGCTCAATTTTGTATCTTGAGTTGAATGCAAAATCAAGTTAATTTGCAAAGATTTCGGAAATTTTTAAAGGTTCAGACAAAATAAAATGAAGTTGAGAACGCTTAGATCGCGAACTTAATGCCCTTTTTTTCCTATTTGGCTGTTAAAATCGCTAAATCATTAAAAGCCCGCGAAATACTGTCTCGCGAAAATCGCCAAATTAAGTACCCACGAATTTCAGTACTAATAAGATAGTAAATTTAAAGTCATCTCAATGAACTGATAGCCAGCGGGTTCCTTGATTCAAGCTTTATAGAAAGTAAAATGTGTATTCATTACAATTACTAAATAATTTGTCTTGTTCTTGAAAAGGAAAAGTTTGTCCATTAGTTTTAATTAAAACGCGAGAACTCTAGCGCCTCGTCATTTTCACTTGGCAGTCTGCTCCTCATATTAATTAAAACTGTTTTATGACTCTCCAGTTTTTTCCCTATTCCTGTTCAATAACAGGTGTTTATCTGTGGACTAAATAAGGCATATTATATGAAATATTCTCTAAAATTTAAAAAAATGCTTGTTCTCATCAGGGTGGATCGAAATTCATGGTCGGCGTATAAATATATTACCCAATCGAACGGTTTAGTCCGGTGTTCGCTGACTGCTGGTAAAACAAACTCTTATATCGACTCAAAACAAACTCTGATGAAGTTTTTATTTGAGAATCATGCTAAACGGGAATATTTTGTGTTTTGTGGTTTATCTAATTATCTAACCTTAGAGGAATACGAGTTGTTAATTTCTGACGCACTACATCTTTCATTGGATAAAGCTCGAGTGTTATTTCCGCGTTGTCACTAAGAACAATGTTCCTTGCTAGATCTAGGGCCGAGAACGTTCTCATTGGAAGTCTGTGTCTGTTTAAAATTTATATATAAGTTACGTAGGTTGCGATTTGAAAGGGTAAAAACAATGACCAAGCAAATTTATTCACTGTGTATTTGTTATTTGCAGTATCAGCGACTTGTGAGTTTGAATCGTTTGTGGATACTCAAAAGGATTTGTAAAACGAAGCATAAAAAAGCTAAAACATTCATGCAACGGGTTAAAAGAAAAATATGTTAAAGATCAACATGCTTTCATGAGGAAAAACTAGGATCTTGTGAGGTAAGCTGATAATTGTTTTTTCAATTAATTTCTGAGACGAAAATGACGATGAAGGATTTCGACTTTATTATCGTTAGTTTCGAGAAAAGTTCACAATTCTGAATTTTAGAAGCTTTGTAGGGAAATAGTAAAAAAACGCTGATTGTTTAATTATTTCAACCGCAGTTGATGTTTTCGTTTATTTTTCTTTGCTGCAAGTGTTCATACAGTTCATCTAGAGTTTCACATTAATATTAATTTATATCTTAGCAGACAATGCCTTCGTGTGTCCTTTCGCATGTCTATATAATTATATACCTAAAGAATGAGAATACGCCTGTACCTTAAAACATTTTTTAAAACGACATCAGCCTTCAAATAACAATGTAGAAAGATGCTACAGTTTAATTGCCA